GTTAAAGAAAAAGATGCTATCTCTGTTTGGCAGGGAGTTAAGAAATTACGGATTAGTCAAAGGAAGCAACCCTCTCTCACCGACTATGCGTAGTCGGCGTTCTTATTTTCAACCCCATCTTCAACGAACTACCTTCAAAGTCCTTCACCCTATCCTCCCCTTTAGCCTCCCTCCATCCTCTCACGCGTTTTTCATCCCTCTCTTACTCTTTTTCTTGAGAGGATATAATCGTTACAATGAAGAAAACTCTTTCTCATTAAAAAAAAATTGCCAACCGAAGCACGTTCCAGAATATTTCTTTTTTTGCCTTTTATTCTTTTTTCTTTTTTTTTTTTTGGTCATCGAGCTCTGTTCAAGTTCCTATTGTTGTCTTTTAACAATAAGGGAAAAAGAAATATATATATATCTTATTGTACGACGAGAGAGAATGAACTATTCTTCGTTGGAAAATTTAATTAACAAATATTGAGTTTTCTTTGAAATATTTAAAAAAAAAAATTGATATAAATTCTTTGTAATGTACAGTCATTTTTATTTTGTCGTGTTTGTTGTAATTTTATTATTTTAATGGAAGGAAAAATAAATTAACGTGTAATATATTTATTAATAGCAAACATATATGATATAAAAAAATATAGTTGGAATATAGAAAATGAAAAAATAATAATATGATAATAAAATAATAAAAGTAATGTTAAAATTGCAACGAAATAAAATACTACCTAGTTGTAATTAAAAAATAAAATACTACGTAATTATAATTAAAAAATAAAATACTACATATTTGTAATTAAAAAAGAAAATAGCTTATATTATGAGATTTATAAAATTAGAAATAAGTGTGTGTATACACTTAAATAAAGAATAAAATAGAGAGAGAGAGAGAGAGAGAGAGAGAGAGAGAGAGGGAGGATAGATGAAGAAGAATAAGAAAAATATACACCGTTGACGTTAAAACGAAGCCGACGAAAACTCAAGCAACCTATTTCTAGGAAAGAAATACACCAAAAAGAAGAAAAAAAAGAAGAAGAAATAGAACCGCTTATATTTTCCCTGTGTCACTATATTTATACACCAAGATAATCCATCGTCATCATAGAGAATGTGTGTGTGAGAAAAGAAAATTGGTGGGAATAGGTTTAGAAAAAGGGAATTTAAATCCTTCTAACACAGAATAACCCTGTATAAACAAATTAGTAGGTGGCTAGAAGCGTGCTCTAGATATGCGATGGTTTTTCAGTAGTGGCTAACACACACATACATGCTCGTTGAACTTCATCATAGTCATCAATCATTCCTATTCCTGTTGAAAGTACCCCCCCAATGTCCTTTGACCTTTTTCATCGAACAAACGTGCCCTAACCGAATATTTTTCTATCATTTCTATTTTTTTTTTCCATTAACTATTTAATCTATTTTGAGGATTAACCATAAGTTTCATAATTTGCGGTATGTTACGTTTTTTATTTTTTTTATTTTTCGATTTTCTTTTTGATTGACGTACTATTCAAATTGTTTAATAATTAATATTGTTACCTATATATAGTATTCAGCATTTAAATATAATATAACACATATACAATAGTATTTTTTGTCTAAACAAAATGATAAATTATTTTAAATGACTTAAAATTCTGTGTTAGATTTAAAATAATGACATTCCTAACAAATTATCATATATAAGTGTTTCAAACTATCACGTAATTATCAGTTGCATGATATCTAATTGTTAATTAAAAAGCAATGAAACCAAATTAAGAAACAAATTGTTCAGACTTCTTTTTCCTTTACGTTGTATCGTAAACGTCAAGTATAATATCACAAATCAAATCTTACATACATACATACATACATACATACATACATACATACATACATACATATGAATATATATGAATGTATATCTGTTTTAAAAGGCTAACGTGGCGAATAAAACTTACGATTCCCTATTATATTTCGAATATTCCTTTTTCTCGAAAAGGAAGGAAGACGAGGAAAGCTTGACGTTATCTACCCCAGTTTCCGGTTACGCATCAAATAAAAAAGAAAGAGAGAATGAGATAAAAGGAATGAATGAGAGAGAGAGAGAGAGAGAGAGAGAGAGATGAGAGTTTTGAAACCACTGACTCGTCGTCGTCGTAGTCGTCGTTTGACGTCGTCGTTTGACGTTGGCGACGTCGGGGAGGTCGGGGACGTCAGGAGGGGTGACAGCAACAGTGACAGCATCTTCCGACACTGATTAATGATGAACACAGTCAACGGTTAATGTCGCAGGGTGCGTAACTTTTCTTTCTCTTTCATTTTTTCTTTTTCGCTTTATTCTTCCTTTTCTATCTCACTCGTTCCCCCTTTTGCCATTTTTCAATCAGGTTTCACCCTACTTTGCACGAGCACAACGATGCATCCGAAAATTGTTAACAGCCAGGCACGCATCCTACTACGCGAGCTCAATCTGCTTTATTAAATCCATGTATACTAGTATCGGTCGTTAACTTGGAATAAACTTTGACATTAAACATAAGGCGACACCCTAGGGTGTTAGGTATTTTCTATCGTATATTTTAAGCTGTGTCATTTTTCGATCAAATTAACTATTTCAAATACAAGTGTCTGATCGATTACATCGGTGATAGAGTAGTAAAGTATTATAAATTTGTAGATGTATTAATAAGTTGTTCAACACCTTCCTTTATCGATACTTTAAAGTATTACATAATTTGATTTAAAATAATTAAATAATAAAATAAAATTTAGTATTATTATCTATACGTCAAAGTTATGCGATTAATTTTTCTTCTAAAGGATTCACTAAAATTTGTTATTTAATAAATAACTAATAAAAACTTTATTCGTCATTCTTATTAATCATCGATCAAATAATATTACTTGAAAAATAAGTTTAATCTTTCTTTTTAGAACGGATTCATTTGTTAATACTATTTAGATCAATAAATCGTTATCGGGCTATGAATACTTTAAAACGTTTAACTTTACTCATTATTCTTATTCTACTTCTTTAATCAAAAAACTTCGATGGAAAGTTCTTCGGTTTAATATCTCTTAAACCACGAACTGGATAATTTAAAGTTCGATGACTAGTACATTTATCGAGAGAAAAGATTCAAGAATCCCTTATTCGTTGAATGCCACGAAGTTGACCAAGGATCTTCAATAAATTAGGAGGAAGCTTTCAAGATGACTCCTACATTAAGGAACTCGAAACTCGACAAATGCAAATCCATTTTCTCTTACTTACTTTCTTTATCATTCCCCGAGTTTTTCACTCCCTTCCCCGCCCCCTCCACATTTAATCGACATCGCCGGAAATATCCGTTTAAGCGATGCTCTGGTATTTATATTGGCGATAAACGACAGAACTGCATATTAAAATATGCAAATTGACTAGATAAAAATTCGGCTGTGCTACCAACCCCAGGAATGGTGTGTTACGGGGTGGCAGGGGTTACTTTCGAAGCTTTAAACGGAACGTTGCTGAGCTATGGAGATTTTAGAAAAGAGAGGGGTGTTATATATCTATCTTTTTCATTCTCATACCTCTTGTTCACTTCCTACTATGTTGTTGCAAACCATACAAGGGTTGTACACTACGTTTTACTAGCAGCTATGATCGAACGAAGAGGGGAAATAACGCACATAGGAGTGATATGTCGATGCGAACGATTTCGATGTTGTTGTACACTTCGGTCAACGTGTTACCACTACCACCAACCATCACACCATAACACCATCACCACCATCAACCCATCATAGTCGTCCCTCGTTCGCAAACTCCCAAAACCACGGGGTATTACTACACGTTTTGCTGTATCGACATAAATTTCTCCCCATGCTTTTGTCAAAAAGAATAAAAACTAAATATTTAACTAAAAAAAATAACCAACGCGATTATTACTAACCTAACAGCGGGCAGTAAATCTTTTTTATAAATAAAAATTCAGTGTTATATTATTGATGTCGAATGAAGTTCGAAATTACTGAACCGATTTTAATAAAATCTTTTCTATTTTGTGTATTTTTGTTCAACTTAGAATGTAGGATAGTTTTTATCTCGATTATTTTTTGTTTTTTATTACTAAATTAAAGGATTTTTTATTTAAATATTATCTTTAGGTACTGCAAGTTTTCAATAGATGGAACTGTATTACAATTCAGCTAATAACTAACCTTACTTTTTCTATTTTTGTGTGTATTATTATTTTATGTATTCCATTATTAATTGTGGTATTATTTTGTGTGTTGTTATAATTTAATAAATAGTTTAGAATTATATTAAATCAATATTTTATAACAAAACCATAGTAACGAGTGGCCTGAGAGCATCCTAGTATATTAATAAAAACGAAAACATAAAGTTTCTTCTAAATGGTTAAAGTTATTTCTAAATGGAAGAAAAACAAAAAGAATAAGATTATTTTTTGATAAGAATAATTAACATTTTGACCTCTCACTCTCTTTTCTCTTTCTTTCTCTCTCATTCATCGTTCGATCCATAAATGGTCTCAACAACGTAAATCCTACTGATTCGTTCAAGACACGATGTACTTTTCTTCGATTTCACAATAATCGCGTGTGCGAATGACGATCATCGGTAGGCTTCGTAAATATCAAACCATTTCTTCGAATCGTTATAACCATTTGCAATAACTCGATGTTTCGCGCTGATCCGACCGAGATTATTTCTCTCCTTTCCTCCGTTTCACCCCCCTCTCCTATCCAACTTCTCTCATTCTCTCTGTATATGTGCGTGTGTTTTTTCTTCTTTTACTTTCTCTTTCTTCCTTTTTCTCATTCTCGTTTATGTATTTTTTAAGCCGTATTTCTCATACTCGTTGACATCGTGGGTGCGTTTCTTCTACGGGGTCATTCAACATTAACGCACACAAACACACACACACACACACACACACAAGTTAAGATTGTTCATTGTTAAACGATCGATAATGTCGCTGTCACAAATTTTCCTATCGCGAACACAATACCAGGGAGCTTTCACAATTTCGTCACCTCGATCTACCGGCAAACGATCGACCGCGATACCTTCGGAGTTTCCAGACGTCCTTCGAGCGTTCCCCATGCTGATAGATTATGTACCATAATCCTCTCTGTGTACATTATGCACATATATGCATGCATATATGTACATATGTACGTGCAAATATATTTATCTATCTTTTTTCTCTCTCTTTCGGTATTTTTTCTTTTATTTTTTTTATTTTTATATTCAACATGCGTGACAGAAGTATAATCGACTACTTGCATTATGCTAGAAGCAATCATAAAACAGAATACAGTACGTTAACATCGATTTATGAAACTACGACGAATACCATTTTCCCATTAAATCGTTTTTTTTTCTTTTTTAATTTCTTATAAATAACAAGAAAAAGAATAGTAAAAAAGAAGAAGATTAAGAGATAGAACAAAAAACAATAGTGATTCCAATTCATTAGAGCTCGTAATACTTCGCCTTACTCTTTCTTTCATTCATTCTTTCTTTCTTTCTTTCTGTCTTTCTTTCTTTCTTTCTTTCTACCATTTCTATATTTCCTATCTTCGCGCCTCCTTTCGAAGCAATCTTAATTTATAGTCCAATTAGTAAGTAAGTTAATTATGGCATACAAATGGTTGAATATATTCTAGTATGCACGAACGCTATTTTAATAAAGTTCTCTTAGAATAACACGGTACACGGTACTTAGAACGCAACTCGGTCGTTAACGTTCAACACGGATTTACGTAGGAAGTCGTATTTTTATTCGAATCTATCAATAAACGCATTTATTCTATTTTCTGCATACATACATACATACATACGTACATACATACATACATACATACGTACGTATCTATATACGTATGTATGAGTGAATGAGCGAGTGAATGTAAAACAAATAGAATTAAAAAAAATAAAACAGAGAGAAAGAGAGAGAAAGATAGTACGTTTTCACCAAGCAGTGAACTCTCTTTTACCTGTAAACTCGTGCACGGTTTGGTGGTAAGTTAAACCCGAACCGAAGTAGTCGAAGTGAACGAACTATTGCAAATGCACGCGATAAAGTAGATGGACTGGCAAAATACGCGTAGGTGTTTTCAGCGTCACAAAATAATGATGACCGAAGTCGGCAAACGGTTTCACCGTTAAGTACCAACCGGTTCTCTTCCCCCAACTACCGTCCTCCTCCTCCTCCTCCTCCACCTCTCGTAACGTTATTTACTTGAACGTCCGGAACACCGTTCCGGACAATTCTTCTATCTTTCTATCTCTTTCTCTCTTTCTACTATATCACATTTCCCTTCTTTTAATTTCTGTCTTGTTTTATTTATTACGATATTACACTTTTCTATTATTTGCATATTTGATTTTTTTCATTTTTATTTTTTTTTGTCCCACGTTATATTATATTTAATATTTTTAGAATGTAATAATAAAGGTATTACAATATATCTATATTTTTATGTGAAATGTTATATCAATTGGTTTATTATTTTTTTAATTCAATTTAATTCGTCAGAGATATTATATTCATCGTCATCCTAAAAAGCAAAAACAGATAAACTGTTACTTCAATTTACTTTTCCCTATTTACTCCATTAAATATTTTTATACTTTATTCTCGAAATGATTAAAACTTTTAGTTTTACAGAAAGACTTTATTAAAGATTGATTAAGTAGAATGAGGAAAAAAATAAAAGGAGACCGAATGTAACAGCAGAGAAACTTCATTTTAAAACCACTAGACGCTTTTGCTAAAGATAAAATGAATAACGAAAGCCACTTATTATATATACACATGCACAAATGCATACATTCATAGATACATATGTACTTAGAGATATATGTAAACGTATGAACGGGAGCATAAATTATATAACCATAGTCGCTATTCATCCGAGCATCCATTTTGCGGTGAACGCAGCACCGAGAGAACTCGGCCGACCCTTTCAACCTCCTAACTCCCCCTTAATTCCCCCGTTCATCCCCTCTGCCACCCCATTACTCTCTTTCTCTCTTCCTTCATTCTACTACTCGCAAGCTAATATTCAATTCCGCATAGTCTCGTAAACTCCGTTTCTGTTACTAATACTACTACTATTACTATTATTACAACTACAATTGCAAAGTTCGTGGAACGTGCACGACCGAAGACTGACGATGATGACGATGACGATGACGATGACTACTATGACGACGACGTCACGGTTTCTCGGATTTTCGGCTAAGACAGAAAACCACAAACAGTTTCCTACACCGCAAAATACGACGTGGATCGTTAAGTAAGCCCCCGTTGCACTTATGTTCGTCTATTATCTTTCAAGAGAGCTTTCACTCTCATATATCTATGAGTTCATTCGTTCGTTCCGAGTCAATTTTGTCATAAGGAAAATTACTTGTATTTCTAGTTTCTCTTTTTAACTTATGGATATATATATTATATACGCGTATGTATGTTAAATTATTGTGACGATGAAGAAACGTTAGACTCATTGAAAATTAAGGATCACTTTTCAAATTATATCTATCTCATATTTTATATTCCATAGAATATTTTCATCTATAACGCAATTCTATTTATACATAAACTATTTGTTCTTTATTCGTAAAATAGAAAAATTGGTTTTAAATTAAAAAATTTTGAAGTGAATTATATGATGTTGATACGAAGTTAATAATAATTTAAAGTTATATTAACCGTAAGTCTTGTGCAGCACCATATTTTTTAATATGAGGGAAACTTATTTGTACACCTAATATATATTTTAATTGAAATGAATTTTAACGAAAAACAAAGATTGAAATAAAATCATTTGAAATTATGTAGAGATGTAAGAATATTCATTTGATATCAAATGTCGGAACTTTTTATCATTTTTGAATTAATGATAAATTATAATGTAAAATGGAATGAATATTTATGCAACTTATATTCATGTAACAACTATACTTACGATTGTGTGCATGATCAAAGAATTTCAAGACTAGTTCTAAATCATTTCTAATATCGGATAATATTAGAAATTTGATCGTAAAATATGATTAATTGAAAAATGTATATAACTACTAATGAGATATTTATACAAGTAACAAGGATCAGTCATGTAATCCTTTGATCATAATTTAAATTTATAATACATTGCCGTAGATGAATGATGATCCTTCGAGAAATTATTCCTAAGTATGGCACCCCGTACATCGTCAAGTATAATTTAAAGATAAACCAATTGAGATCATGGGACAGGACAACAATTTACCTGTAAAATAAAAGAAACGAGAAACGTGTCATTAGAAAGTACACACAATATTATCTGATCGTTTTGCTATAGCATATAGTCAAACTATTATTTCTAATATTAAATTCAACGTGTCAAAGAAAAATAATAGTTTACTAATCCTAAAATTAAAAAAAAAAAAATAATAATAATAAATAACTTATAAAAAGAAATAGTACAATTATTAATTTCCCAATTTTTTATTTACTTACTTTCTACGAGAGAAATTTATTTATGAGAATGAGATTTAAAATAAACATTTAATCGAGTAAGAATAATGATACGAAGATACCGTTGATAAAATATTATTGTTAGATCATATCCATGCATGGTACATAAAGTACGTAACGTATGTGGTTGTAGTCGATGATTATGGGAAAAAATTTGATCGCGTAAGTGGTGCTGGTAAGAAATTCGTGCCGTTTACCTTTGATATTACGACTCGTGCAATTTCGATTTAGCGCACGCGTCAGAACCTTTCATCGCACGGTATTATCTTAACGCTTACCTGGTGCTACTGAATACACATCTCTGAGATTGTAATAAAGAACAACGATCTCTTAACGTATCACGAACCCCCACGCCCTATTGTGTTCCAAGGTTTAATACGAGCAATCGTCAATCGCTAATTTGTCATCGACACGCTCAGTTCTACAATTCAGATCGAGATATTTGATATTTCGATAATCGAATTAATTTTATTCACTCACGAACTAATGCTAATACTATTTTTAATACTTTAGATTATATTTTAACTTTATACTATATATTATTCAATAAAACGAATTAGGAATATTTCCAAAAAATATTTTTAAACTTAAAATAATTATTTTGTATAAAATATTATTTTTGAAAAAATAATCAAAATTTTATATATATAATCTCAATTTATATTATAGATATTATTATATATTAATATTAATTTTTATCCAAATATCTTTTAAATAAATAAATACATAAATAAATATATGAAATAAAAGACAAAAAAAATATGTAATAAAATTAGAAATCGGATTGAAGATAATTCATATATATTAAAGTTCTTATTTCTAATAATGATTGACCAATATACCTTACTATCATTAATCTACCTATACATATGCCGTTTTTCTTCTCGGTAAAAGCGTGCTCAGAGCTAATGATAACATACAAAATTTTACGATCGTTCTTGCCTTCTTACGAATATAACATATACACGCAAGTTTTCTCGATACATGGAGAGAAGGAGGAGAGAACTTGTATCATCATAATAGGCTCTCTCGTCATAATTCTTTCCTACGTTTTACGGTGTATTCGCCTATGGAATTCAAGTTATAATATCGCACTAAGGGAAACAACCTTTCCTCTATTTTCTCTAACTTTTCGTTTTTTTCGCTTTTTTCGTTTTTTTTGTTTTGTTTCTCTCAATCTTTTCTTTTTCTTGTTTTTTTTTTTCTTTTTTCTTATCTTTTTCCTTCTTTCTATATCTTCTTGCTCGTTCGCACTTCGTTTCGCGGAATTTCGAACTAAAATATCTTCCCGCGTGTATACTACGAGTCCAAGGCTCGTTTTAGATTAATCCGGCAGCGGCACTTTACGAGCGGTAAATTTTATCACGAAGGATACAACACGAGGAACGAGTAAGAAACAAAAACTAAAAGGTAAAGAAAGATAGTAGCATCTTTTGCTTTTTCTCTCGCACTATCTCTTGATTTTTTACTTGATTCTTTATTTATTTATTTWTTTTTTCTTTTCTTTTCTTGCATCACAGAAACGACCTCGCTCTCATTTTATATTTCACATTTTGTCCTTATTTTAACGGTTAAA